TCTTCTGCTCACACAGGGGAAGGTTTCGGCCCCGAAAAAATGAGGTATGAGGACAGGAGCCAGAAAAAGGCCTCAGAGTAGAAAGTGGCGAATTAGGTCGATCTCGTGTCTTCAGCATTGCCCTTGGTGGCAGTCCTCCGTCATCGATCTGATCTGCGTCTGCAAAACTTTCTGTGTGGATTTCGGGTGGCGGTAACTCAGTTCACCTGTTTATCTACTCGTGACCAGATCCTTTGTCTAGACCACCCAACGCTGTCAATTTTTTGTGACAGTCGTAGCTGTGGTTTTCTGCGCTGAGCAACCACGAGGAGGCGAAGGGCGACTGGATATCCGACCGCAGACTTGTCTAGGATAATGGGAAATGGGGATTTTCTCGAGTCGGAATGAAGATGAGAGAGTCCTATTTACGTAAAGATAGGATTGACTTCCAAGCTAACAAACTGCAGAAAAACAAAGAGGTATTTTTAAGCAATGTCTGCAGGGCCAACTGGTGTCGGCGATCTATTGAAGTATTTTCGCCGGCAATGTAATTTGGTCCTTTTTCCTCAGCACAGTAATTTAGTTTATCACTGCCGTTTGCATTGATTATGAGCCAAAACGACGTCCCTGACTTGAGTGAGGGATAGGTGCGGTTCGTGATGTGCTGAATTGATTGATTCGTCACTGCAGTCACCTTAAATATCCATAAAACTTAATCCCATTTGTCAGCATCGTTTTAGTGGCATACTCTGGGTCTTACTGTCGTTACCGTTGCCAATACTGAACAAAACGCAGCTAAACATGGACAACATTTGCAGTCACCCTGCTCGTAAGTACGGGCTTATTGGGGGATATTTTCCGACGCGTGTGCATGCGTCCGCTCCCCCATCCGATGCAGTTGCAAAACCACAACTGGCATAGTTTTTCTGTTAGTGGATTTCCAAATGTATCGGTGAAGAGAATCATCCGGTGGCCTGCTTCCCGCTTTCTGGTGTGCATTCCCGCAGTGCCTTGTCCTAGTTTTTGGCTCGCTAACCTCTCCATCTCCCTACCCCGCTTTCATGACTCGCAAAGCATAGCCATCAGGCATGCCACCGACCCCCTTCCTCTCGCTTTTTTCTCCCGTTAACCTCTGATCTCTCATACCTGATCAGGGCGGAAAGAAAAGGCGAAAAAGCTTTCCTTCACAGAGAACCCCCGGTCCGTTTATCGTTTACTTATTTGTCTCGTTGGAAGTTAGGAATTCTCTGGAGTTTTCTAAAAGTCCCCTTCAGTTTTGAACAAGGCAATCTGGGCAAACATATTTTCCTGATAATTTCGTCCCAGACCTTTGCATCGATAGTTGCGCCGCATTAAAGTGCTTCCAGGACCTAAAGAGATGGTGGGAGGTGTGGCGTTGGATCTCGGAACAGACCGATAATAGGTCAAGCGATAATTAAGTGTCATGAGAAGGCTACAAACTGTTGGTGACGTTGTCCACTGCGTTGAGCGAGGGAATGCCGAGCAGCTGTGCTGAGATTGCTAAGATCACTTTTGACCGCAGCTTCATTAAAACAAGCTAAGGCAGTGAAATGTTCCTTTTCGTGACCTGTGAAACTTCTCATAGAAGGATTCAGAAAATAGTTGGTCAGCCTGCGTGTGCGTTCGATAAATTATCGTCGGGCACCGTATGTGTGAACGGCGTGTAAGCAAAACGTGTGATAAGAGAAATCGATTACAGTTTATCTTTCCATACAAGTGGGGTGCGGGAATAGGAGGGACAGGTAATAAGAGCAGTGAGGGTTAGGCTGAGAGGTGCCAGGGTGGTTGGGGGTTAGGACGTGGAGAAGTAAATGCAGTTCATCGGCCTTTGGTCATGGTGGCGCGGAAGTTCCTTAGGTCTGCCTTAGTTACCAAGACCAGCTAGCGTAATCTGATGGTAGTCGCCTCTGTCTTGCTAGTAGACGCTTGGGGTAGTTAGGTGGACCTAATAAACCCCACGAAAGGCTTTTGTGGTCCATACGACTCTCGGAATCAACCACATGTGCAATAATGAAGCTGTTTATGCTCCAAAATTCGCCTTTCCTAAGCCATGCCCGGGGTGTTCCCCTTTTCTTTTGGATAGGCGCCAACGCGTGAGACCAATATAACCTGCTTCACAGGAGCAAGCGAAGGGTTAAATGCACATGGAGGTGATCTGAGATGGCAAACTATCGTTACTTTCCCTGTGTAAGATAGGGCTGTTTGCGGATAATACCATAACTGTCGCTGCCAGGAATGTTCTAGAGAGAGCTTGGTCAAGGCGTCTTCTCTCAAGAGCTGACTCGCCGCATCTCCTGGAAGGGAGACTTTAAGGAATATTTTTCTTTCGGCAGTCAGTGTTATGCGTTTTTCTTGCCTCTCAACAGTCTTCTTTACAATAAATCTGCCATGATACCCGTTCTCGCGAAGCAGGTCCTGGATCTCCCAATGTTCCTTCCCGGTGCTGTCTGCCGAACAAATTTAAAACAAACACCGGGCTATGTGGCGTTTCTAGTGCAGAGGTACGAATTTGCCAAAATTCGAATACTGTCCAGACCGGGTTTGCTTCCAATAGACGCTCCTTTGGACGCTACCGTCAGACCTTCTGCTTAGAAAGACGTCTAACAAAAGGGAGAGAACCCTTATTTCCACCTTCACCGTGAACGACCTCGACGGATCTGCATGATTTACAGCAACTGAAAGAGCAGCTACGTCGGTTTCTGTATTAGAAATTCCGAAGATGTCATCAACCCAACGATTGCAATGTCCTAACCTATTGATCTGCCTGTTTAGTTGAAATTTATCCTGCTTGCCCATGAAGACCGGCTGAAAGAGGCTCAACGGACAAGGCCATAGCAACGTCGTCTATTTATCTATACAGTTGATGTAAAGAGGGATTGCGCATTTAGTGTGCATCCTAGTAGTAGCTTTTTGACATTGTTTGTCGGTATTCTCATTTTCTGCGGACCTGCCGACAGAAATCCGCATACGTAACCACTTGCCTCAGTGACGAGGACGTTTGTCAAAAGTTACGAGACATCTAACGAAAGCATCATCATAAAGTTTAGGTTGAGGCCTTTGACGTTGTCAATGAATTCTAGGCTATTTACATGATGCTAGCTGGTGCTGCACTGGCTCGCGACTTTCTGCTAACCACTTCGTTATCGCATGATACGGAGAGTTTAACATGTCCAAAATTGGACCAAACTGCAGGCCGTCTTTGGGGACCTTTGGTAAACCATACGATAGGGGGATGAGCGTGTCGACTGGTCGGAGTTGTCCGAGGTTGCGGTCGCTTATGAAATGCCCTGGATGGAGCTTACTTAGACAGTCGGTCAGTTTTACCTCTGCGTCATCCGTGCAATCCTTTTCTTCGTCTGCCTTCCTGAATTTCTTCGGGTCTGGCACAATTGACTGTAACTTCGTTTCGTAGTCCAATCTGTTCATTATAATGATGCCTTTTCCTTTATCTGGCCCAGGTACCAATGTAGTTCTGTTCTCTCGAAGTTCCTTCAGTCGCCGCACGTGTGCTTCTGTCAGGAATCCTCGACTTTTGGCCCTGTGTTCAGGTACTGATAATCACAACTCACCGGTGTGAATTTGAAGTGCTGGATGCTGTCTGCAGCAGCAGGCACTAGATCGTAGGTTTAATTTCAGAGGTTCTTGGACTGGGTATCGAATTTTGATTGATTAACTTTTCGACAAGTTATGCAAGACTCAGGACCGAGAGTGTTTTAACAAGTGTTGCATACGATTGGTTGTGTACGTACCAGCCTGGATCTTCTGGGAACCTTGATTGTGGTTTCACGTCATGCATTTCACGTCATGCGTTATCTTCCTATGGACCGAGTATGGCCGCCAAATTCTTGTCTTTCATCTTCTGTCAGGGTTGGAATAGTAGCTGCACGTTGACGCACGTGACACTCAAGTCCGTCTATCTTTATAAGTGTACTTTCCAGTTGACATTTGGGCGTACCTTTTCAGGGTTTTGGTGGCAATCAATGCGTGACTAGGTCGCATAAAAACTTAGAGAGACTGATCTATGCGGGGCTGTACGCAAGCTTGGAGGTATTACTAGGATGCGTATTACTGCATTTGGACAACGGAAGACACCTATTAGTCTAATCCTAATTGGCGTCCTCTTCTCATACCGGCTTGAAGAGGACTTAACAGTCGCACAGATATCTTCGGCTAAAACCGATGGGCACAAGGTAGTTCGTATGAGCGTGGCAAACGCGGTAAACAGGCCGCAGATCATAGTTGGGCATATCACAAGAATCAATCGACGTATTCACTGCACAGATAACGCAAGTCTCAGGATAATTCAGTGAAGGCCTAGGGTAGTTAAGACTGCACGTCATCAATGAATCAACAAAGTGTTGTTGTGCTACTACATTGCTTCCTCCCTGAAGGCATAACTAATTGGGTTAAGCACAGGTGACGGCTCAAGTTCCCAAGTTTTTTCCCTTTTGGCTCCGCTTTCCCCGTATCACCTTGTCCTGTCAATCAGCATCATAAATTCCCTCACTCTTAAATCCATACGGATTCTCCTGCCCCAGTCTGGACCTATCGCAAAACAAGTCACCGCCCTACCACATGGTATATCGATGTGAGAGCCCGGGGAGCAAAAGGTCGAGACAAGAGTTCCCCTAAACTAAGTTACTTAATTGTTAAGCAGATTTGGCTTAGGCGTTCGGACTGGATCCAGGTTATCTCCCCGTCCACTGCAGATGTGAGTGTGTATAATCAGTGAGTACTCCGTGTAGGTGCGGTATTTCGCATCGCTTAGTTAGCGAATGCTCCAGACGACCATTACGGGGCACCCAGCTCGCATCTCTGGCTCCCCGAAGCTGGGCTCCACCTAGCGATCACGCCCCGCTAACCGCTTCGACCGATGGATTAAACCGGGTAAGGGTATCCGGTGTTGTGTGTCCCCACACCCGGCAGTTCTGATCCCCATCTGCGACGACATGGTGGGACGTCTTCACTGTCAGTCGTAGGAGGAGAACAGCAGGCGCCTTATGGCGCTACACCTGACTCTTCGGGGAGCCAAATTCGTCACCGTTGTCAGCGCCTATGCTCCCGCAATAACCAAAATAAACGAGTTGAAGGACAAGTTCTACGAAGACCTGCGCACCCTTCTGGCGATTGTGCCGAAGGCGTGCAAGCTGATTGGCCTTGGTGACTTCAGTGTCCCTTCGCGACAGACCACGCTACCTAGGAAGGAGTGCTGGGTCCCCACGGAATTGCCGGATTCAACGACAACGGCATCTGCCTCCTACTGGCCAGTACCTTCTTCCACATTCCGTCTCAGAGAAGGCAACCTGGATGGACACCCGATCGTGACGCTGACAGCGGAGGCGAGACCTTCAGAATTAAATGGGGACAAAGCCAACCTATGACACCGACGGCTGGACGGACCACCGCCTCTTAAACCCCAAAATGAGACTCGGACTGCAAACTCCCAGGCGACCACAAGGTGAGGGACCACCAGGAAAGTCAAATGTATCTGCACACACTCCAGAGTTAGTAATCAACCTCTCCAGCGTCTAGAAGAACTTCAGACTCCGGACCGCAGCGCCGCCGTGGAGACAGTAACGTCACCTGCGAAATGTCATCCACTCTACCGCACTGGATGTCATCGGTCCCCATGCTGTCCGAATCATGCGTTGTCCGATGACAACGATGAAAAAATCCGCGATCTGCTATCAGAGACACAAATCTGCACAAAGCCTACGGAAACCGCGAAACCGACGGCAAAAAGTCTGCCTTCTTCAGATGTCGCTGTTTGGTGCAACAGCGACTGCGGGAGACATAATAAACCCGGATGGACCGCAAGTCCGAAAAAATACAAGGAGACCCTGCCCTAAATGTAACGACGAATTTATGCGTCATCCTGAAGGAAGTCCACGACCCCCGCACCAAGGCTACCGAACCTCTGCTCATCTCCGACGAGACAACACTCCTGGAAGCGGAATCGCAAACCCTGAAGCACTGGGCCGAGCATTTCAGGGCACTCCTCAACCCCTCATCCACAATCTCCGACGCCGCCATTAACAAACTCCTCCAGCTGGAAACCAGCAATGATCTGGACCCCCGTCATCCCTCAGAGAAATAATCAGGGTTATATGCCAGATGGCCGGCAGGAAAGCACCGGGATCCGACGCAATCCCGACGTAACTCTGCAAGTACAGCGGTTGTCGGCTGATTGACAAACTCGCATCGTTGTTCCATGAGATGTGGCGGCAAGGACAGGTCTCTCAGGACTTTAAGGGCCCCAACATCTACAACTCCAGTGGCAAACGTGAGCCCTGAGACTATCGAAGGGTACTTCACTGATCAACATTGTCGCGAAGACTGGGCACATATCATTTTCAATCGTCTCAAAGGCCATCTGGAACATGACCTTCTCCGGAAAAACAATGTGGCTTTCGACGACATGGTCTTCGCCGACCGTCAACTACAAGAAAAGTGCCCGAAAATGCGGACAAGCCTCTACTTACCTTCGTAGACTTCACGAAGTCCCTCGATAAGTTAATTGCTACGGACTCTGAAGAATCATGTTGGAATGCAGATTTCCGCAGCTCCTCACATACATGGTACGCCAGCTACATGACGAAGTGATGGCTGACGTCAGGGCAGTGTGCCAGCATAGGAAACACTTGCAGCGGTCAACGGAGTGAAGTAAGGTTGTGTACTCCCTCTTGTCCTCTTCAGACTCATTTTATCCTCTGTGCCGTTTGACGCCTACCATGAGAAGGAGTTGGAAATCATCATTGCCTATCAGCTTGACAGACAACTTCTCGAAGAAGGGCGCATGGAGGCACACTCAAATGCACCCCGGACCAGCATGCACGACCTACTTTTAATGGGTGAATGCACATTCAATACAACGGTGAAAGCGACCAAGCAAACGAAAAGAGATGCCTTGGCCTCTGGCTGTCCCAACTTTGGATTAACCATCAACATGGAGGTGACGGCGGTTTTGCGTCAGCCGGCGTCAGAAATGGATTACAGAGACTGCCACATCACCGTCAATAAAGCTTAACCCGCCAGTATAGAGACATTTGCATACCTAGGCAGCACAACATCACAGAATGCCAGGATGGACGGCGAAGTGACCCACCGGATCTCGAAAGCCAGCCAGACTTTTGGCCGACTACAGACCTCAGTCTGTAATCGCCGAGGGCTTCACCTAAACACCAGACTCAAGTTGTACAGGACGGACGACACTATGTAACGGGGCGGAGACATCGACTGTCAACGCCAATCAAACCAGGAAATTGGACCACTTCCACCTCAGATGTTTCCTTAGAATACTAAAGCTGACGTCGGAGGACAGGATCCTGGACAAGGAAGTCCTAGAACGGGTCATAATCTGCAGCATCCACTTCATGTCGAGGCATCCACAACTGTGCTGATGCGAGCACCTCGCGAAGATTTATGACGAGCGTTTACCCAAGCAACTCTTTTGCAGCTGCGTCACTGCGGGCACTTGCCCAAAATACGAACGAAGCGACACTCGCACGTCGTAAACTCCGCAGACCCTCAGCCTCAACACGCCGCAACTACCAACGTGTACAGGCAGTCACCGGACATTCCGAGCTAGGCTCGGCTTAGTCGCACATCTTCGAGCCCAAAGCGGTAACAACACGACAACTCAACCTACTGCCTCCGAAAACGCCTCCATCGTCCTCCCCCCCCCCTTCCCCTCCCCTACCGCCACAACCACGGAGTCCACGACAGGGACCACCACTACCAGTGAACAAAATCCCGGCGTCCCGCCACCGACGCACGCCACCACCTCCACCATCAGTGCCACATTTCCA